GTCCCCATGCTGTTATATAAATATTATATAAATATATATATATTATATATAATATTATATAAATGTTATATAAATACCCCACCTGAATTCTGGCCATCACACACAGAAGCACAAACGCACACGGCTCTCACAGGCGTACACTCATGTCACGAGGTAATCTCCTCTTGTCACTCACTCATTATTAATACAGGATTACTTGTATTCTCAATCCCAAACTCGCACACACACAATACGCACCCCTCACAGAAATACACGCACTGTCTGCTGGGGACCTTCACCGGTGGCAAAGCAGTCAGGTATCTGTGAGCCACCAGCTGGAGTCTCAGGAGTTTCATCCACTTTGAATGTCGCGAGCCTGTGCAGGCCCGCTGCTCACTTTACTGCTGACAGAGGTTTTACCAGACAAGTGTTGGATAGTCATCAGAAGAGAAGATACTACAGCTTTGTAACCCTTGTTTCATGAAGGTAAGAAAAGATTTATATATATCTGATAACAAGGAGAGAAGTTAGAACAGTATGCAATGTGTTTGCATTCACATATGCACCACATTTTACTTAAATAGACAATTAAGATTTCAGAGGATTTTAGATAACTCTAGCGTAAAACAGCTCTACAGACTGTGTGCTGAGGTGATTTTAATGCTTTTGCTTTAAACACTATAGCTTCAAACATGGTGAAGGTCATATCATCGTATGACAGATACTTTTCAGTCTCTTCTTCACCAACTCTTTGTGTCTTTTCCAGATGTTTCCTTGGTCTGCTGTTTTCTCCCTTGAGCCTAAAGTGCCCGGCCAGCGAACAACTGAGGAGCTGGTAACCAACACCCTGATGCTGGAGCTTGGGGCCATGGTGAAGCGCACTGAACGCATCCGCTTGGAGAGGGCGACGGAGGGTCGTCGCCGCCGTCGCAGCTCTTCCTCTACAGCAGACTACAGCTGGTTGGCAACCACCCCGACCCCACAGCCCTTTGAACTCACTCCCAATGACCTGCTGGAGCTGCAAGACCTCTGTGCCAAAATCCCTCCTGCACAGTGTGGGCCTGTGATTGTCAGGTAAGAAAAACAGGCAGAGGTAGAGACAGAGCTAGAGAACTGGCAGGATAACGGTGAAACTGTTACTATAACTAAAAGACCTACAGATCATTTTCAAATAGCAGAGAGCTGCAGGGTTTCAGTCTAATCCATTTTACACACTAAGCAATAACTCGCTAATACTGTTAGAGCCATACTTATAAAAGTTGACTTTTAAATGTCTGTGTGAGGTTCATATTAACCCCTTATGTAAATCTGAGAATAGAAAAACTGGAGGGTCAAGATGCATGTACAATTTTATAGTTTCTGCAACTATGCTTGCTTTGCTGTGGTGTAAATATGACCCAGCACTAACCCTACCCCTCACTGGTAAATTCCCATAATTAATTCAACATAATGATGAATGAATTTTCAGTAAAAAGAGCAAATGTGACTTTTTTCTGGTGTTATCACTGAACAGAGTTGTTTAGACAAAGCGATCAGTAAATATAAGGGCTTTAAAATCTAATATTCAGACACGTCCTCTGTTAGAAAAAAAAAGTTTCATCCAGGCTATCCACCCTCAAACACCACCAGTGTTTTTCTTACAGTCACATTCCAATTTATTCTTCATTCTCCACCCTTACACTCTTTGTTGGCTGTGTCCTTTTTGTTTTGCCTTGGCTGTAAAGGGGTGTGAATCAAAGTCAGCTCATATTACACTTACTCTATCCCTCTTGCTGCAGGTTCAGGAGGCTGGTGTCACAGATGGAGCCCGAGGTTCACGAGGTTCCTCGGCTCTTTCGCTCAGTGCTGCGTGACTGTGTGGATGAGGCGAACGGAAACGATGAGGTTCCGACCCAGGAAGTGGTGTTTGAGAAGCAGCAGCGCAGCAAAAGCCTCTCCTTTGTCACTTTCCGCACAAAATTCCGCACGGGGTATTTCCCAAAGGGCAGCAACTTGAGAGGCTCCAGGGGGAACCTGCAGCAGCAAGTGGAATGGTCTGATGAGGAGGAGGATGGAGAAGGGGAGGAGGAAGCAATCAAAGCCAGGGCGAGGAAGGGAAGGAGTAAGAGCATGCCAGAGATCACCCCTATAGAGCAGAGTGCTCATGGGTGAGAGAAGTGGGGGGAGTCAGGGGAGAAATAAAGCAGAGGGACATGTGCAAGGGAGGGGAGGAGAAACTAGGAGAGTCACAGAGAAGACTAGGTGAGCCCAGATTGTACAAGACAAGGATTAATGAGGAAGAAAGGGAGAAGTGGAAGTAGCTGCCATTAAAAAATGGGTCAAATAAAAATCCTGAAAACTTAAAAAAATTATTTTCTTCCTTCTTTCAAAAGATGAAGAAAAAAATTCAAGAGAAAGGATTTAAGTAGATTTGCTCACTGGCAGCTTTAGGTAAATCTAAAAGAATTATGGTTCTGGCTTTAAGATGTCAGCAGCCTTTTGTGGTCCTGGTGGGTAAATTAGAAACTGCTGATACTGTTTTACCTACATAAGACCAAAAATACTAAAGGGAATAAATAGCTGTTCCAAATCTGACACGACCTGTTATGCTCATTTCCATATTTCAAGTACCCTTTCCTGATTTCCATTTCAAAATAATCCTGCTTTGTCTCATTCTGGGCCTGGAACCAGTTTTTATGTTAGCTCATCTCCCTTTAAAACCACTTTTGTCTGGTAACGGATGGGTGAGGTTTCTGTATCTGAAGTGGTAAATACAGATCCTCCTTCTTTTGACGGGACTCTTGCCACAGCAGATCATCTGCCTCCATCTCATCCTATCATAAACACATCACATGAACTAAAACTTGTTACATAACAGGACAGCTTTCTTCTGCAGACTCAGCAGCCACAGTTTGGCTCCAGATCACCAGCTCAGTTAACAGATGCTCTCCCATCAAGTAAAGCAGAAAATAATTAGACTCACGTATGATTTTATTGTAATACAACATGTACTTAAGGTAATAAATAACCAATTTTCTGATCTTGTCTGTGCAATTAAAACACTTCTTTTACACAAAAATGTCTTCTTTTTTTGTTTTAAATAGATGTTTAGCTAACATTTGAGGCTAATGTTTAAATGCATATCTGTCTGTCTGCATTGTTATAAATGAAAATAAAGAATAAAAGGCCAAATATAAACTGCAGCATTTGTTACTGCTAATTAAAGCTCTGCTGACTAATCCTCTTATCCCAAGAAAATCCCACACGTGAATGCCAGCACCCCATTACTGTTTTATTAATGCACACTTTATCAATACATCTTCATAACTATTTCAACTTTATACACTGAAGTCAAGGCATTTGGCTAAAATTAAAAAAAAAAAAGAAAAGAAGAAAAAAAAAGAAAGAGCAAAAGAAAAAAAAGGGAAAAAAAATGTTTCTTTTAAAAAGTTGTGGTCATTTAAATAACATCCTGTACATTAGGTAGATAATGGATGCGCACAGGCATCCAACCAGACACTTCCAGGGAACGTGGCCGATCGTGTGACTTTACAACCAGCGCTTACCCCTTCATACGCACTGATCCTCCTGCAGCACTCAGTGAGTGAGGTTTAAACCTTTTCTTCCATTAAACCTCTGCGAAGGCTGCTCACCACACAGCTTCATTTAAAACAGTGCCGTTATATAACATTTCTCACAGCTCACTCTTCAGTTACACTGCAAACCTCCCTTCATCTGGCTATGACTGCCTACTTGTGCCACAGCGAGTTTCCTTGTATTGTGTCACAGTTCAACAACGGTACCAATTTGGCAAATGAAACAAAACAGCAAATAAAGATTAAAAAAAAAAAAAAAAAAAAAATCCACATCAGTTTTGGATGGTAGAAGGTTAGGAATTGCTGATAAATGAGAGACAGTCATGTGGTTCCAGTAAAAAGCAGGTAAACTATGAAGCAACATAATCTGAGGAGCAAGTCCAGTTGTAAAGTTTGGCTTTGTAATACTTACTATAAAGGATGACGTGTGGTAAAAGAGGTTAAACAAAACAACCATAAGACAGTTTGCAGAATCAAACCATTAAATTAGAGCCATTTTGATTAAATGCTTATGAATAGTTGGTCAATGTAGAATACAGAGCAGCTTTCTGCTCTTAAAGTGGGGATTCAAAGATCATTTATTTGTTTTATTCGAGAGTTCAACATCTTCATTTTCCATTGAAGAGTCAAATTAAGACTGAAAAGTTTGTGGCTTGGGACAAAACGACAGGTCCGTATTCGAGTGGATCCCAAAAGCCTCCATGAAACCGTGATAGAAGAGTCTCGAAATACATCCTCTTAGTCTAGCTTTAATTATATTCTCCCTCATTCGATACCGTTTCCCCGCTCCTCATTCCTTTAAGCAAAGAAGACGACAAAGATGATGAAGAAGACCACGAGGACCAGAAAGATCTTGATCATCAGCCAGCGGTTGGAGGAGACCGACTGGAAGTATTTGAGGATCTCTGTGTGGGCAGCCTCCACGTTCAGCTGGGTGTCCTCCACGTTAGCATCGATCCTGTGAGAAGGAAACGGAGCAGTGAGAAGAGTTTTTATCTCTAATCAGTCTTGTTTTATTTCAAAGACTAAGATATTACACCAATACTTATACCATTAATGCAAAAAAAACCAAAAATCAATTTTATTCAGTTCTGCTCTAGTTTGTTATTTGTTTATTTTAAATAGAAAATTGCTAAGATTTGTTATTGCTTTGATATATATGGGCTTCTGTCTTTTAAATTTTAACACACTCTAGCGGTTAAAATTGGTGTAGGTTGATTGCCTTCCAGGGCTATTAATGAATCCTGATTGATGCGTATTTGTCAGACCCTGATGAAGACTTGTAGTCAATACGTGCGGATCTGTTTTACTTGCTGAATTGTTCCAAGAATACATTTGTTATATAATTTTATCCCAACACAGAACGAGAAAAAAAAAAAAAAGTGCTTTTATGTTTCAGGCTTTTTTTCCAGCAAGATTGTTTTTCCAGTCCTTTCTTTCAGTTGTGTAACACGTTCTTTTATCCTACAGAACCTCATCTGTCTCAATCTCTTCCTCACCTCTGGATGGTCTCCTCTTGCTCCTTGACCATGTGCGCCAGCTGCTGAAATATGGAACCCAGTTCCACGATGGTGCTCTCGATGTTTTGCATGGTATCTGCACGGCTCTGGATGTACGAGTCCTGTTGCCACAACACAGCATTTTAGTCTAATATTTAGCTAATCTTGGATAAAAGTCAGTCAAGTTTGACAACAGACTAAATTTTTTGAGCCACCTGTCTGACTTCAGCAAACAAACACCAACACCCTACCTGCTCATCAATAAGCTGAAGCTGCAAAGGATTACTTGGAGAGTCCATATCGATAGCAACATCCCCCCGGCTCCGGGACTCTTCCTGCATCAGGACCGAGCCATCTGAAGAGACACAAAAAACACAAACACGTGATCACAGAAATCCTCTATGGTACGGGCGGAAAGCAGAAAGAACAGCGGGCACATACAGTAGCTAGTTATACCCGCTTGGAGAGTCGAGACGTTCCCGGGAAATACCTTTGTAATTTGCGGTTGTATAGCCCTGGTAGTCATTGCGCGGCTCACGAGCTGCATGCGGCTCCTGGGCCCCTTTTTTGCGGCTCCCTAAAATATTTTGTAATTCTTGCATTACAGATGACCAAATACAGTAATAATCATTCACAAGGACTGCCAGCAGTTCCCTATCACAACAGCTGCTGTTTTGAAAAGTACACTGGTATTCAAAACTTATCCACAACCAGTGCCGTTTTTGAAAATGAAGGAAAAAACAAAACACCTAACCATCAAACAACATGCTCAGTGCAAGTACGCCAAACACAGAAATAAGGGAATGTGTGCACAAGCACAGAAAAACTATATATTCTGTTAATATGTGATTTATTATGCTTATGGTTTTCTACCGTAGGGTTTATACCCATGTACCTTTTAGCAGGTAATAACATAAACAAGTAGAGAAATGTAAATATTTATACCATCATCCATCAAGATAAATAAATGCTGAGTGCATCATTTCAGAGATTAGAATCGAGCCAATTATATATTTAAAATAATGAAACCAGTCCATCTTTTTTTCCTTTGTAAAATCTCTAGGCATTCACAATGAGCATTTTGCTTGATATTTGGCCAAAAATGCTAAAATAAAGTGAATTTATGAACATTTTACCAACTGTGTAAATGCACGTACAGGAAGCACTGGAGCTCGGTGCGTTCATTAAAGGGTCTCTGTTAAGAAGCCTGCTCAGCAAAACGTTTAATCATTCACTTTAGCAGAATGATGAACTGAGCAGGAGCCAGACGTCGAGTATTTTCCTCCACGACACAACAAATACTCACGGTGTGTTCACTCTAATACACACTTTGTATGCTTTGAGTAATGATTATTCTCATTACTAGTGGGAAGTTCACCCTTTCAGAGAATACAGGTGATATAAATGCGGCATTACAGCAGGCAGTGTGAAGCCAGCCATGTTCACGGTCCTCTTTTACCCTTGTCTGTATTACTAGCGCTGCACGTCAGTTTATACATGTGCAACATTAAAGGTCCACAAAATGATTAAGACAGAACTTTTCACACAAACAATATTCAGGATAGAGTGAACACGCCTTAATTAAACTACAAAACATGCTTTGTTAACCTGCTGTAGCCATTTACTTTCATATGAGACCCTTGTTAAAAATCTGAATGAGCAACTTGAAGCGTGAAGCTGAGATGTGGAGAGACTTACTGAAGTTGTTGGCCATGAGAGGAGAAGACGACGCCGGAGGCTGGGAGAACTGCTCTCTCCTGCTGCGCTGCTGCTTCAGGTTCTGAAGAACAAGAGTCAAAGAGAGAAGAAACCTTCACCTTATCCAGAGCTTTAGGTATTAGCATTGTTTGCTTTTGTGTGCTGACGCAGCTCTCACCTCTGTTCTGACTTCTAGGACTGATTTGAAGTCATTGGACATCGATGCCAGCTTGGACTACAGACAACAAAGAATGACAGAGTTAAAGGAGGTGCTGATTCACTTTTGTTACCATTTAAAAAAAGAAAAGAAGAAAAACAAAACCCAAAACTACAGAAAATTCGCATTCTCTCAGTCAATAACTACATCTTTTCTTGATTTTAAAATTGTACACAAAGTTTTACAGGAAGGTTCAAAGTTGTTTCCTTTTAGATCAACTTCAAATTCAGAATCAGAATCACAATTTTTGTCAATTTTTTAAACAAATGATTAATTTATCTTGGGGTCTTGATGCAAAAAAAACAAAAACAAAAAACCCCCAAAACAAAACGTTGGTATAGAAATAAAAAACAGAATATATGCTATATACAGTGTATATAATATATACATATATTTAGGAATATATACCAACTACCTACAGATATGAGAGATGAGATATACTGAGAAATTAAGTCATATCTAAAGGTTATGACCAGGAAGGGGACAGGGTGCAAAATATAGATAGAGCTCTCATCTGCAGTCATCTTGCACTCATTCTGATCCAAATAAGCAAAAACAAAACGCAAACAACAACAACAACAACAAAAAAACAGCAGGATTTGCACAAATACAGTACAAAAATATACCTGTAATGACACCACTATAGTGTTTGAGTGGGTCTGAATGTGTCGGCCACCTGGAGCTCCACGGGACCTCACCAAGTCCTGCAGCTGTGCTATCTGTTTGTTTAGACTGTTAATGTCCTAAAAGACAAATAAAAGAAGGGAAAGTTATAATATCAAGTTTCATTAGATATAAAAAAGGACTGACATGCTTTACTGAAGAGTGACAGCTCAACTCACCTGCTTAATGATGTATGTCAGCTCCTCGATTTCTATCGCCTTGTCATCAAACAGAGATTTTCTTTTTGCCACTAAAACAAGAAAATAACATCATCTAGGTCAGCACTTTGGATGATATCACACTCAGAAATTTGAAATGAAGCTGATATTACATTAAAATTAACACTTACAAATTGTGAGCTTTTCCAGTTTGGCAAATGTATTGCTCAAGTCTTTCCCAATTCTCCTACAAGGAGACAAAAACAGAGGTTAAACTTTCTCTACTAGTCACAGAACCAATAATTATATTTGCTTCAAATCTCTTTAGTACAACTCTTTAACTAAAGGTAAGAGAAACAGGTATTAAACCATTTATATGCTAAATTCATTATATGAATATTATAGCTAATTCAACAGTGAATATGAAAATAAAGGAACAGCAAATAAACATAAAATGAGGAAACATATGCGAAAACAGACTTTGGGGAACTTACTTGGCCATAACTGTAAAGTCACTGCGCTGCCTGAGGGCACTGAGCGCTGGTTTACTGGGCTGGACTCCATTCTGCTACAGGAGGTACAAAGAAGCAGATGAGATGGTCAGAAACATTAAAAAAATAAAAATAAATAAAAAATAAATAACAAAAAGGGGGGGGGTAAGACATATAAATTATGATAAGCAGGACTTTGAGAATTGATTTTAAATGAATCAAGAAGTCAAAGAATTTGGATTTTTTTTATCATGATAAAATAATAATCCAGTCTGTTCTGACTTTTTTTTTTTTTAAATAAAAACTTAAACATGCCTAAAAGTAAAATGTCTAATGGCATAATATTTGGAGTGTTAATATAATAAAAAAGAGAATGTGGTCACTTTAAAATATAAGATACACAAGATAATTTGAATTTGGCATTTTTTTTTTTTTTAAATCATCAACCTTCCTCCAAAGAAAAATAATCAGGGCTGTGACAGAAATATTTCTAACTAGTAACCAGCACAAGTTAAATGTGAAAACACACTTAAAATGTGTTTTTGGGATAGATGTTTCTATATTAAGTAGCCAAAGTTTGAGAAGTCACACCTAAAAGGCCCATTTTGAGAGAGGAAAAACTACTTAGAGGTAGAGAAAAAAGCTCTACCTCTCAGTAAACAAAAATCACTTCCAAATGTGTTTTTGCATCATCTCACATAAACACTGACATAATTATGTTTGCATTACCAGACACACTGACTGATAGTTATTTACCTTCTTTTTTTTTTTTTTTTTAAAGAAAGTAAAAAACATTTTGACACTGTTATTTGGGGGATTTACAGAGAGGAGTAAACAAGGAACAAAAAGCAAAACTAAAAGCCAAGCCCAAAATTATACAGTGCTACCAAAACCGATCTGCATCACTGCATTTTAGCTGTATGTGTTAAAAAGATTCTGGTAACTCTTATCAAATCGTGCACAACTTCAAGTAAACCTATCATGGAATATAATAAAAACTAAGCAAAAACGAGCAAAACCACTATGTAAATAGATTGAACTGAAACAAAAAAAACCCCCAATAACTACAAAAAAATAAATAAATTAGAATAAATCTGAGTGTAGGGACGTGGCTGGGTTTTTTTTTTAAAGACACAACATACCTGTCTGCCCTGGAGAGATTTACACGCTGACTGGAACTCGAGTGTCCGGTCACGGCACGTCATGCTGCCGCTGATAGTGAGTCACCTGCCCGCTATAGATCAAACACCACCCGGGCAGCCGGTTCTTCCTCCTGGGGTCTGTCTGATTGATAAATACTAAGACCTCGCGGTGTACGGACAAATTCACATCGAAAGGTGGTTATCATTCATGTCTGAAATTTAAAAAAAAAAGTCACTTGTTAGCTTTCCGGGCCGACAGCTTCAAATTCAACAGATAAAACACAAATTCAGGAGATTCGGTAGCCAAAAGCTAGTCACAAAGACCGCGACAGCGTGGAAATAAGGCCCAAATAACTGTGCTAAAGCTCATATAAATAAACAGGCAAGCTAAATATATATATCATTAGGTAACGATGATTATTTGGAGCCTGGACTGGGTCTGTTTGTGTGAAGGCCGCCCATCACGACACACAGCTGATCATGGCCTGACCGGCTAACCGCGGGCTAACGTTAGCTCCAGAGAGCTAACGGGAGTTTTCGAACGGTCCCTCCAATCTCACCTCGGTGAAAGCCAACTAAAATTGACGGTGCGAGTTTTAAATTTATTTAATAAACAAAGCTAGATGGGGTTCAACTCACCTGAATCGGTATCGCAACATATTATCAGACCCGTCGGTGTTTCTGGTGAAGACTAGTATACCCAGGAGTTAAAGTTCCGATCCGGGTCATTTCCGGTACTGACGTCATTGCCACGTCTACTTTACCGAGCATGGAAAAATGTCTGCAGTACCGAGTTACTACCACCAGGGGTCGACAGATCTACTGATGTGAGCGGCACAAAGGAATCGACGCTTCAGTTCAGAAAGAAATGCGGACATTTAGTTGAAAACGAAGTCAGCAAATGACAAACAAAGCTATTATTTAGAATTCAAATTAAAACCAAACTAAAGGTAAAGTAAAATAATATTAAAACTAGACTAAAGCAACTAAAGTAACATTATCCACTTACAAAATCAACTCAAATAAAAAAAGAGAATATAAATAAAAAGGACACTTTTTAAAAAAAAAAACTTGGTCACACCAGGTATTGATATGTTTAGAATATAATGTCTACATGTCTGAATCTTCCGTTTTCAATACATTTTGTGTTTGTATTGTTATACCTTTTCCCCAAACAATTTTTGTTCCACTGAAATACTTATATTAAAATGATTTATACAACTAAAAAAATAATCCAGAATAGAAATAAAACAACCGATTTAGATAGAAACAATATAACCCAGTACTAGTACGGAGTAATTAATGACGTGGTGTGTGAGTGTACATCAAGAAGCCGCAGTTTCCTGTTTTTAGCTGACAGGAGTGGCACCAGGCGTGGTCTTCCGCTGCTGTATCCCAGCTGCTGAGGAGTTCAACATATTGTGCGTTCAGAGATGTTTTCCTGCATACCTTGGTTGTAACAAGTAATTATTTGAATTACCATTGCCTTCTTATCAGCTCCAAATAGTTTGGCTATTCTTAGATTTTTTTCTTTTTGAAGCATTCTCTGAAAACCCTGGATAGCAGTTTCTGGAATATTCAGACCAGTATGTCTGACAGCAATTACCATGCCAAGTTCAAAGTCACTTAAGTCATCTTTCTTCCCCACTGTGATGCTCAGTTTGAACTTCAGCAGCTCTTCTTGACTATGTCTGCATAAAAGCAGCTGCTGCCATGTCATTTTCTGATTAGATACTTTTGATAACAAGCGGTTAAACAGGTGTACCCAATGCATTGGCCAGAGAGTTTACATTCAAAATAAAAACCCTCCAATGTCAGTCCTGTATCCCTTTAGCCACCACCTTTTCTTTTTTTTTATTTGCAAAAGAAAGTTGTTGTAAAACTGTAAATGGAGATTTACCTGATTGTGGCACTCAAAGTAAAAAAAGAAAAGAAAAAAAAGAGGGTGGGCGAATTGTTAATCAAAAACACTACATGAGGAATCTTGTTTTAAGTATTCCTACTATCAATAACACTTATACTGATCCCTCAGAAACTGAAATATTACAACTACAATGGTCATACCTTACTGCAGCAAATGTAATGTCACCATTCATCATTTTGTTTTTCTTCTTCGTGTTTAACGGCGGTTGGCAACCAACGTAAAGGAGCATTACCGCCTCCTACTGTTCCGGAGTATGGGTCAGACAGTGAGCTTACAATCTGTATCCAAAAAAAACAATACAAATTAAAAAAACACCAAAAACCCTACACTCTTTCATAAACACCTATATCCTTCAGAAACCCTACCAGTTCCCTCACCTGTGCCCTACTACCCTCCAACACACTCTTCAGATTAAATTCCCAATTCCCCGCTCCTTCAATCTATTCTGCAGAACTTTCCTCTCCACATCATAACCCTTGCACCGCAGTATTACATGCTCTACCGTCTCCTCCTCCTGGCACACTCCACAAAGCCCCGTCTCATGTTCTCCTATCATCTGTAGTGTTTTATTTAATGCACAATGTCCCAGTCTAAGCCTGGTAATGACCACCTCTTCTCTCCCATTACCCCTATACAACCGACACCCTGCCACCTCCTTAAGATGATACAATTGCCTGCCCATACTCCCTGAATCTGGTCAATATGCTCCCTCCATGTCAGTCTTGAGTCAAACACAACACCTAAGTACTTAAAAGAGCTCACATTCCCCAATTACCTCGTCATACAGTTTCAATGTCAAAGTCTCACTCACTTTTCGTTTGGTAAAGAACATAATTTTAATTAGCTCACGCGTGTGTTTCTTTTTGTCTGATATTATTTCTGTTTGTTACTGGAGTTCCCTGCCTGTTCCTTGTGGGGTCTTTGGTAGTTTTACTTATTGGCTCATATCAGTCAGAATAAATATTTCCCTTTTGTTCCTGTTTCTTTCAGTGACTGCTTTTGGGTCCAGAAAGCACTATATATTTTAATATGGTTTTCTGAAACAGGTCTCTCTTGCAAATGAGACATTGAGCCCCAGTGGGACTACCTGTATAAACAAAGGTTAAATAAAAAAAACTCCACATCATATAAATGATGGTAGTTTTATTCTTGGACTAGAATACCTTTACATGAGTCAGCGTTCCAAGTAATCCTTATTTATCTTCTACTGTGCAGCTCCCCAGTTCCTCTTCTTTCTGAAACGAGCTGTTTTAGCTCCTCCCACTTTAAGCCAACTTTCTTTTATAGTTAAGCTGTGCTGCCATGTTCTTTTCAAAGACAAGAGCCTTTCTGTTGGCAAGCCTTCCAAACAAGCCACATTTATTCAGCCTTTTTCTAATTGTGCTGTCATGAACTTTAACATTAAACTTGCCAACTGGGGCCAGTAGAATCTCAGATGTAGCTCTTGGCTTTTTTGCAGTTTCTGAATATTGCACAGTCTGACCTTGGGGCTTGTTCACTGGGATGTCCACTCCTGAGAAGACTTGCAGCCGTTTTGATTTTTTTTTCCACTTGTGGATGAAAAATTTTTCTTGCTGGAGAATTTTGGACTTCAAATTGTTTGGAAATGGCCTTATTACTGGCACCAAATGCTTCTTTAAGCCAATTGCTGATGCCTGCCCTTATTGTGTTGTGCTAACAAACACCTGAATGCTCCAGAACTGATGATAACTTAACCAAGGTCATATGATTAGCAGCACACCCTTGATTTATTTTTTCATGCATTGATTCTGCATAACGACACAGTGTAATATGTTACTTCTGTTGTTCATTTGAGGTTGTGTTTACCTAAATTTTAGACGTGTTAACAACCAGATGTTTTTTTAAGAGGTCCTGAGACAAATTCACACAATTATAGAGACACAATGATTTTCTTTAACTTGAGAGTCAAAGAAGACATGACGCGGTTACGCTTAAATGCTGAAGGAAAAATTAAATCCTAAAGTTTCTGCGAGTGGAGATTGACAGAGCAGACAGAGAGACACGGAAGATGATTGGCTGCTGCCTCAGGTGATTCGACCGGCCTGCAGGTATGGTATGGAAAGAACGAGATAACATCCAGCAGGCTCTCTGATCTCCTCTCATGCCTACTGGTACCCGCATCCTCCGCCTGACGGGATCAAGCATGCCCAGACCACAACTATGTTCTCTCCCATTTACCTGTTAGACCCCCAACCGCAAACCCCAACCTGCGACCCTCCAGCTACTACAGCAAGACCTCGTTCACCTTTTATACCTCGGTTTTAATCACCAAATGGATTGCTTCCTCCCACTTTGAAATATGACTGTATTATGTGTTTTAATCTCCTTTGATGGAGGGAGCGGCCCCTTATCAGGACAGAACAGTTTCTCCTGAAAAAACACTCCCTTCTCTTTGTGATTTCTTTTTCTTTTTTGTATGTATTGCATTCACTGCTAAGCTACATTTAATTGTATCATACATTTTGTTATATTATTTGTATTTTTAAAAACCTTTATACTTTTTGATGGTCCTGAATGAACATGCAAGCAGTCTTTCAATTTCTGTGGTGAAATCCTGTCATTCCCCTTAAGTTTATTTGCAATAACTCATTAATCTATATTTATTTGTCCAGTACTTAAGCTAAAAACATTCCCAACAGCTTTTGCTACACATAGTTTTTAGTGATAACTGGGACATGTTAGCATGATAACACATTACTTTGGTCACAGGGACACCAAAGTATATTTTCAAAGTCAAGAGGACTTAAACTTCCTCATAACACAACCATCCTTCTGCTATATTCCCAGCCTAGCTGCATGCAAACTGTTTCCCATGTAGTTACAAGAGCCATAAATCTTTTATCAAGCATGATGTCCTTCACTGGAGTGAGAAAGACAAGGTCTGTGGATCCATGTTTCTGTTGAAGATAACAGAGTTTGTTTATTCTGTAAAATGAAAAAAGTTATTTGTGTTCACAAGAGACTTTAAAAAAATCACTCACTTTCCTGTCAGATCATCAGAGCGACAGAAGCACACAGGAATCTTCTTTACCCTGCACATACTGAGCTAAATCTCACTCTTTTTTTTTTTTGATCTATGTTTCTCTCACATACACAGGAGAACTGATACCATCTAACAACACACACAATACTCACAGGCCAGATAGCGTCCAGTACCTGCTTGAACACAGCTGCTGCTACAAAAGCAGGGAGGAAACCATGGCTGGTGTTATTAGAAAAACAATGACGCCAAATGCAGAGAAAAGCAAGGTGGAAAAATACAGGAAGGCCTGATACAGGAGAAAAGACTGGCAGGGACAAAGTGACGGCTGCAGAGTGATGGAGCGAGAGACACGTAGCTACTGGCTGAAAACACGCAAGAAGTCAAGTTAATATATAAATTGTACATGCACTCACCGCACATTTCATAACGTTTTTGCAGGTTTTGATGAGCAAGTGGCTTTTTAAAAAACGCTTTTGAGGATTTTGTGCATCGAAATTCATGACTCACTCTATCCTTTTTCTCTTTCCCTCTCCGTCTCACTAATCTTGCTGCTATATTTAGTCTTGGCATTATGCCCTTCGACAGATAGGTTGGCAGCAGTACGTAGATCATCTCTTCTCCAGTCTTTCCTCTCCTTTCCTTCCCTCTTCCTCAAAGCAGATCCTCTGAGATCCATCTGCAGTTCACAAAGAGATGTGAAAGTTTAACACACGCACTGCATCAATCAACAAAACTAAGTCTCTTAGACGTGACTATAAATGTACAGAATGAGATACGGACGAGCTATATTAACATTATCCCCAGCCTCAGGTCTGAAGTCTGCTCTGTATGATGAAATATTCTAATGAGGCACTGAACATAACATTCCCAG